GCTTTTCAATGAACCAAAACAAAGAGGAAAGATACTGTGGCTTTTCAGGGCATGGAGCTTTGGACTCTGCCAACCCGTTTGAGTGTCATCTCTGCCACTTATAGCTTAATGCTTCAAACCAGAATTTTCACCTCTATAAGAAATGGGGGTAAGGAGCCTGCCCATAGTAAACTCCGTAGAGGGTGATAATGAGATAATAAGTAAAAGGTGCTTCCCATGTAGAACAGCATATAGTGAGTGCTTAATGTTGTTAGCAGTTTTTATAGTTAGCTCATTGTTTCTCAACATTTGACTCTTTAATGAGGATCATCCAGGGTCTATAGAAAATTTACAAAAGATTGAAAAGATTCCTGGGTAGAGTTGGCCATTCCTGGCTGTACTCCATAGAATTCTTCTTTCTCTCTCAGTCATGATTACCAAGGATATAGAGAGACAGGGGAACAACAGAAGCAATTATTAGGAGAGCATTCTCCATGGGTTTCTTGTATTCTGCACAGTTTGTCAGCAAGGTACTGGCTGCCCTATGTTCTGAGCTATCCTTTCAAGGATGAGTGTTTAGTGACAGCCATGCAAGAGAGAACCAGTATCTCCCTGTACAGCACAGGACAGGTATGATTACTGCCCATTAGAAAAGATTTGGGTTCCCAAAAGGTTCAGGGCTTCTCTGTGTGAAGGAAGCTACTGTGTACAGGTATCATCCAGCCCTCTTTGTGTTGTCCTTGTGGAATCTCAGGCTCAAGGAACTGATGCAAGAATGCTGGACCTTGAGTACTACTGCTGCTGTGAGCCATAAATGGTCTTCCATCTCTGACCCAGAAGTAGTGTGTCCTCTACCAGCATCTATAAAGTCATGCAAGGCAAGCATGTTACCTTCTCAGAAGAGCAGAACCACAGGCTCTAACCAGGGGTCCCCAACCCCTGGGCCACGGACCATACAGACTGTTAGAATATGGATCATACAGCAGGAGGCAAGTGGTGTGTTGCAAAGCAAAGCTTCATCTGCATTTTTGTTTGTTGGAGACAGGGTCTCACTACACATTACAGGCTGGCCTTTAACTCTCTATATAGCCCAGGCTGGCCTCAAACTCTCAGAGACCCTCCTGCTCAGCCTTTCTGGTACTAGGATTATAGGCATGTGCTACCATGCCTAATGCCTCTTCTGTGTTTACAGCCAATCCCCATCACTTGCATCACTATCTGAGTTACACCTCCTGTCAAGTCAGGGGCAGGATTAGATTCTCATAGGAGCCTGAACCCTACTGTGAACTATGCAGGTGGGGAACCTAGGTGGTGCACTCCTTTGATCATCCCAGAAACCACCTGTCACCTCACTTCCATGGAAAAACTGTCTTCCATGGAACTGGTCCCTGGTGCCAAAACAGTTGGGGACCCTTGCTCTGAATGTTTCTAGACAGTCACTGAGGAGCTGGGCGTGGTGGTGCATGCTGTAGCCCCAGCATGTGGGAGGCTCAGGCAGGAGGAGGATTGCTGCAAGTAATCCTAGGCTACATAATGAGTTAAAGGCCAATGTGAACTACACAGTGAGACCCTGTCTCATAAAACCGAGGGAGGGAGGGAGGGAGGGAAGGAGGGGGAGAGGGAGAGAGAGGGAGAGGAGAGAGACAGAGAGAGAGAGAGAGAGAGAGAGAGAGAGAGAGAGAGAGAGAGAGAGAGAGAGAGAGAGAGAGAGAGAGAGAGAGAGAGAGAGAGAGAGAATGAATTGCTGAGGAGCCCAAGGAGATCCAGGGTGAAGCAGGAAAGGAGTGGACCAGGACCTGGCGGAAAGGGCAGGGAGCAAGAAGAAAAAAACCAGAGGCAAGAAACTTCAGATTTCATTAGTTCATTTTGGTTTATGAAGTTCTTTTCTAACAGTGAATTTTCAAATTCTTACCCCTCTGTCAGGGCTAGGCAAGGGTTCCCTTTCTCTTGGCAAATTTAGCCATGCCCACCTCATCCCAGTTTCACCTACAAGCCCTCTGCTCTCCCCGATGTCGGGATGCTGCAGAATGTTCCACATGGTCAGCCTTCCACACAGGACAACAAGGAGAAACAGAGCCTCACGGTTTCCCACCCCTGCATTAAGGGATGTTTTGTCTTTTAAGTATTGATCATTTTAATTGCCTTTTTAATCATACGAGTTGCAAAGTCACATTTAGGTCATCACAAATAGTAACTGGAGAGCAGAATTAAAATAACATGCTAATTAGGTTGCCCATTGCTATTCATTTGATATTCAAAAATGTACATTTGTTTGATTAAAAAGAATTTCTGCATTTTACAGCTAGCTGAATAAATTCTGTATTAATGAGACAACACTGTAAACTACACTCATTTCTGCAAGTTACAAATCTTAATAATGCCCCAATTAACACAAGTACTTGTGAGATCCAATTTATAGGTGTTTTCTAATAAATTTAAAACTTTTCACAACACAACTGAAGTTTCCAGTTTCATCTATGGGGAAAATATCTGACTATTATAAGCAGCAAAGTACTGTCTGATATTTTTTTTCCATAATGAACATCATTATATAATATGTTCCACACAGTTAAAGTATATAGAATGGTTCTTAGCTCATGCTAAATAGATTAACCTTTTGTCTTTTAACTTCAGGGCCATAGTTCATGTCATGGCAGCAACATCAACAAAAGAGTTTTATTTTCCTCTCTGGCCTTGAAAACTAAGAGTTCCACACACTCCTTCACTGCTACCCCAATTATTAATTCTACCATGTAAATGAGGTTTAGTTTTTCAAGTGGCAGCACAGGTCTGCTATATTTTGTCTTAGACTTGCAAACTGAGGCTAGTTTTAGTTTTTCTTCTCAGAGGCAATATTAAATGTCACCTGTCAAATGGATCAAAGCCATATACTCTGCGCTTAAATCATTTGGCTCGGGCCAAGAACTGAAAACCCATGAGTTTCAAGACCTATAATGATATCCCCAAGAAAGCCCACTGGCCATGGAGTCAGGAATACACGCATGGGTAAGAAGTCCACATTTGAAAGAGATTAAAATGAAGTCAAGGGTGGCCAGCTGGTGACCAGGGCTCCTTGAGCAGAAGCCACACAGAGAAGCGTCATCCACTCCACGGGCTCTGGTGTCAGCTCCCGGGATGACAGTGCAGCTTCCCACTGGGCTGAATCCAGAGAACGTGGGAATAAGGAGGAAGTTACAGCACGTGTCAGAGGCTTCATCCTCTCGGGGAAGAGAGGGCGGGCTCTTGGGTGGCTGTCAAACCTTTCCTTCCACACATGAGGAACTGGAGGCTTCATTCAAAGTTGCAAGGTTGACAGGGAGCTGGGACTGTAAGGCTAAGTAGGTGCATGAAGTATGCTTTTTACTCTATTTTTGATGCTTTGACACCTTGGAGTGTTGCTGCCCCTGGAGGGCCTGGACCAGCCCTTCCAGGACTGGCTGGTCCCTAGAGATAGTGAACTGTGACTTTCATTCAGCTTAGTGAATATGATTTTATTATGCAACTGACCAATCCAGTGTCCACACCCCTAACCACTTCTTTGAGGGGCTCTTACATGATAGGCCACTGGGCCCCTGCCCCAATCACTCCAGATACCAGGCAACTGGGGAAGCTGCTATACCTGGAACTTGCTGAAATTATTAAAATTAACCAATCCTAAAGCAGCCCAGCCTCCCACTTGCCTCACCTGCCCTGAAAACCACACACACACACAGACACACGCACACACACAGACACACACACACACACACAGACACACACACAGACACACACACACACAGACACACGCACACCCCTATTCATGTTTTCCCCTATCTCCTCTGCCTCCCGACGGGCCCTCTGCATCCCATGGGGTGTGACATGCCCTTCCCTTTAATGTACTGTTTAGTGACAGTGGCCTGTGGGTCTGTCAGCCTCCCTTTCTCTAAATATTTAAAAAATCTCTATTTTTAAAAAGTAGGTGACTCAAGATTTTCCTGGCTGAGGATGCTGTGTGGACAGAGTGCTGGCACAGAACTAGTTATCTTTGGATTTGTCATGAGGAAGAACTTTCTAAAATTTTTGAATAAATAATAATACTGCAGAGAATATTCAAGTAGTGAAAGGAGAAAAATGTGGTGAAGGAGGGACAGGGGAGGACTCAGCATCAAACCTGCTGGACTTCTAAGTCACTTTCTAGACTATGATGCCTGAATGATAACCAAAGTTGAGTGGAAAACTTTACACCTTGGACAGCAGAGGACAACTGAAGATTTCTGAACATGGGAGGGAAGTCCTGCCCAAGGGCACGGAGAAAGGCCTGCTGGGGCACAGGTGCCTGTATATGAAGGTGAAGGTAGACACGGGAGAAAAGAGGAAGCTCAGCCCTCTGTGCCTGCACAGCACAGGGGAGGAGAGGACTTGGCAGAGACTCAGTAAAAGGGCTACTCAATTATCATCAAAGAAGGGGAACATGAAATTAAACAACCCAAGCCAAGCTAAATCCATGTACAATATGATCAATCTATCACATGGATCATTATTCAATGTGCAACTCAACTGTACATTTCTTGCCAGGGCTAGCCCCTAGCTTGGAAGCGCATGTATCAGAATAACTTGATTTGGAAGATTTTAAGTTGCAAATTTCAGTGGACATGTTTCATTAAGACTATGACATAGATGGTGTTTTGGGTTTTTTTTTAAAGTCATATTAAAATATTAAATGTTTGCAGAAGAAAATCTTTCAATTGCCCTGTTGTGAGAGCCAACCCGATTCCATCTTGTGCCTTGGTGCCATTTTGTACCTGTGCTTGAACAAAGTGCTTGCACTTGAACAAAGCACCTGAAACCCCCACATCCTGCCTGGCAGTAAACTCGCTGCAGTTCCAGGGTGTTTTGTAGCTCACCTAGTGTGTGTGAAACTTCCTTGTATCCCCCACTAACCTGGCATGGTTCTGCTTCTGTAAAATTCCACTTGCTCTCCTCTGGGCCCTCCCCAGCTGAAAGCAGGATTTAAAAGGAGAAATCAAACTGCTTCCCATGGCCGAGGAACCTTTCTGGGCACTAGCCCTCCTCGGCCACTGGCTATAAAAAATGGGCATGAATCTGGCAGAGGGTGGTGCATAGCTATTGTCCGAATTCACTCATCTGCAACAGCTGGAGGCCCCAGCAAGATGGCCACACCAAGTGGACTGGCCTCGCTGTGATCCCTCCTATCTGTGGCAGCAAACTATAGGTGAGGCACCCCCTGAGATGTTCCAGGGCCCATAGTCTGACTGCCAACATGCAAAGGACTGCAGAGAAGCCTGAGATGCCCTCCACATTTTCTGGAGCCCATCTGGTCTGGTAAGGATGGTTCTGGTTCTGGTGGGGAACAGCAGTCCTTGATGAAGGCATTCCCAGGGCCCCTCCATAAGGTCAGGACACTGACTGAGGTGGCCCCTGGTCTGGTCTGTTCTGGCTGTAAGCCAGCCAATCTGATAAATCCCTGGGGTCAGGGTTGGAATGTCTTTAACCTCTGAATGATTGCTGTATGAATGAATGAATGACTGGCAATGGGCAGTGCACACAATAGACTGCTCCATCCATGTCCCATGAGAAAGGGGGGGATTCCCTGCTCAGAGTCACGGGATTTGATTGGGGTCATGCTGTGGTTCCATGGATGTGTCTAAGAAAGGCCAAGTGGGTGTGCTTGTGATGAGATAAATACACCCTAAAGCCTGGATGGTCCTTAAAGTGGCTGAGAGGCCTGTGGCCAGTCGACCAGCTGAGTGGTTCCTCTCACAGACGAACACCCCCTCCCTTTGTCTGTCATGACATCATTCAAGGGTGCAACACATAAACACTAAGGCTTTTCTCTATTAGCAGACATCTTTTTTTATTTGTCCTTGCAGCCCCTATTCTTGGGCATCTCCTGCCTACCCTAAGTCTCTTTACAATGGGGTTGTCATTTCACAACCTGTTACAACCCTGGTCTGCATGCTTAGAAATTTTTCCTCAGGATTTTCTGATGATTATGGAGTGAAATTGTCAAAGGACAAACTCCACACTTTTTGTGAGCTTGACTGGCCCTCTTTTGATGTGGGTGGCCCTCTGAGGGCTCCCTGGACCCTGCCTTGGTTCAGGCAGTTTGGAAGGTTGTTAAAGGGTCACCGGGACACCCCAATCAGTTCCCTTACATTGAGTCCTGGTTTACTCTAGTGCAGCACCCTCCTCCATGGCTAAAGGCCTGTGCCACAAAAGCCTGTTCAAAGCTGCTTGTTTCCAAAAGCTGTTCTCCCCCTCGTAGGTGAACTCCGGAGAGACAGAAACTGGTTCTGCAGTGGTAGGATGCTGAGGAGGTCCTACCCTCTCCACCTCCGTGTAACCCTAGCCCTGCCCCTCTCCTGTCCGTCCTGACCCATCTGCCCCAACGCCCTCATTTCTTCCTCTACTTCCCCTGCTACCTCTCCCCCCATTTGGGTGCGTCTCCAATCCCGGCAGGCAGTCACCACCTCGGGAAGACGAAGTCCAGAGGCTCTCCTGCCTTTGACGGAGGCCCCTCCTCCTGATGGGGCAGGACCCGGAACCCGCCCATTCCTGGTGTATGTTCCCTTTTGCACTTCTGACCTCTACAACTGGAAAACCCAGAATGCACCGTTCTCTGAGAAGCCCCAGGTTTTGGTTTCCCTGATGGAGTCAATCTGCAGGACTCATCTGACCTGGGATGACTGTCAGCAGTTGTTATCGATCCCGCTCCTCAGCGGGATGGGATGAGGTCTGAAGCGAGGAAGCTCTCCCGGGGGGACGCTCAGAAGAACAGGCCCACGCATTGCCGAAGCAAGGGTTCCCCTCGGAGTGGCCTGAATGGGATCCAAATTCTTGGCGGGGGGGCAGGCTTTACTCACCTTTCACCAGAACGTGTGAAATGGGATTTGAGCAGCAGCTTGGAAACCCATAAATCTGTCAAAAACCACTGAACTGACACAAGGACCAGAGGAGTCCCCCAGTGCGTTCCTGGAGAGACTTAGAGAGGCCTTCCGGGTTTATACTTTGTTCAACCTCTCTGTTCCAAAGAACAGTAGAGCTATACATTTGGCTTATGTTGCTCAGTCTGCACCTGATATTAGGAGAAAATTACAAAAATTGAAGGGATTCCCAGGAATGAACACATCTCAGCTGTTAGAAGTAGCTCAAAAGGTGTTTGACAGTAGGGATTCAGGAAGACAAAGTGGCCACAGCCATGGCTGAGTGGTCAACAAAGAAACAAACAAAGATCTCAGCAGCAGCCATCAGAGGGGGCCCCGTGGGACCCAACCCTGGGAAGCCCACAGGGTGGATGCCTAGAGAGCCAGGAGGACATCGCCACTGGGCAGAAATCAGTGCACCTTCTGCAAGGAGGAAGCGCCCTGGAAAATGAGTGCCCCCACAGGCCCTCTGCCAGGGTACTATCTCTCCCCATGTTTGGAGGAAAGAAAGATTCAGACTGAGGAGGCCAGGGCTCCTTCTCTCTTCGTCCCCAGGAGCCCACGGTAAATGTTGAGGTGGGGGCCAATGGGTCCGTTTCCTGGTGGACACTGGTGCCGAGAGGTCAGTGTTAAAAACTCCCCTGGGAGAGCTTTCATCACAAACTGTTCCCACCCAGAGGGCCACAGGAGCAGTCCAAAACTGCCCACCCACGAGGGAGCGACTGGTGAGCCTGGGATAGAAACAAGTTACTCACTCTTTTCTGGTGATACTGGACTGCCCATTCCCCTTGCTGGGGTGAGGCCTCAGCATTACCCCATCTCTCAGAAGGCCAGACAGGGGATAGCCCCTCCCATTAAGAGGTTGGTAGACTTTGGGATATTCACTCCCTGCAAGTCTCCGTGGAACACCCCATTTCTACCAGTACAGAAACCAGGGACATCAGATTACAGGCCGGTTCGGGACTTGAGAAAAGTTAACCAGTGAGTGGTGGCTCTGCATCCTACTGTTCTCAACCCCTATACCCTCCTGAGTTTGCTGTCTCCTCGGCACCAAGTGTATACTAGATTTAGGCTAGATTTACAGGATGCTCTTTTTAGGGTGCCCTTGCACCAGCCAGCCAACCTGTCTTCGCTTTTGAGCAGACTGATCCAGTTTCCAGGATCTCCTGCCAGCTCACCTGGACCCGGCTGCCTCAAGGATTCACAAATGCACCCACCCTGTTTGGTGAGGCCCTCCAGAGGACTTGGTGAGTTTTCAGTCCCACCACCCTAACCTCGCCCTGCTTCCAGGTGTGGATGATTTGTTATTAGCTGTTACCAGCTACTCAGAATGCTTGCAGGAGGCGCAAGAGCTTCTTCATTTACTAGAGGGGTTGGGGCCACCGCGTATCAGCCAAGAAGGCACAACTCTGGGCCCCTGAAGTATTGTACCTGGGGTGTGAAATCTCAGAAGGAAGAAGAGCCTTGTCCCAGACCAGGAAAAGGGCCACCCTCCAGATACACACACCAACTCCCAAGAAACAGGTATGGGAATTCCTAGGTGCAGCTGGATACTGTCGCCTATGGATACCTGGGTTTGCTCCTCCATTCTGCCATGGGAGGAAATCAACCCCTAGCTTGAGGAATAGATGAAGCCTTCCAGAATCCAAAAAGAGCTTTGGTATCAGCTCCAGCTCTGGCACTATCCGATGTCACTAAGCCTTTTCATCTATTCATCCATGAGGTAAGAGGGATGGCTAAGGGAGTCCTAGTACAGTCCTTGGGACCCTGGAAGTGCACTGTGTCTAAAAGATTAGACCCCGTGGCCTCAGGATGGCCTTCATGTCTTTGGGCAGTAGCTGCCACAGCCTTTTTTGGTCAAGGGGGCTGATAAGATGACCCTCTGACAGGACCTAGTCCTAACTGTCCCCCATGCAGTAGTGACTCTGCTCAGGGGGGCTGCTAACAAATGGCTGTCAAATGCCTGCCTCACCCAGCATCAAAGCCTCTTGCTGACCAGCCTCACATAGTCTTCTCAGGACAGGTTCTCAATCTGGCTACACTGATGCCAAATGATGACTCCGACATCCCAATTCTCGACTCTGAGGAGGTGCTGGGCCAGACCCAGGTAGGCCGATCGGACTTAACAGACACCCCCTTGGCTGAGGCAGATGCCACCCTCTTCACAGATGGAAGCAGCACACTGGTAAGCAGGGTATAGAGGGCAGGGTAACTACAGTTGATCAAGTCATTTGGGCTCAGCCTCAGTGATTGCCTTGGCCCAGGCCTTGAGGTGGGGAAAGGAAAAGAAGATAAATGTATACACTGACAGTAGGTATGCCTTTGCTACTCTACATGTCCACGAGAGCATCTACAAGGAGAGAGGGCTTGAGAGCTGTAGAAAAGACGGTTAAAAACAAAGAAGAGATATTGTCTCTCTGAGAGGTGGCATGGCTTCCCAAGAAGGTGGCCATCATTCATGTTCAGGGTCACCAAAAGGACAATACACCCGAGGCTAAGGGAAATTGACTTGCAGGCCGTGCAGCCAGAGAGGCAGCCCTGACACCAGCTGAACCCTTAGTCATCCTGCCTACAGTGAGTCCTCCTCCCCCTTTGCTCCTGACTAGCCCCACTTACAATGAAGAGGAGGATAAAGAAGCAAGCCAGCTGCAAGCAAAGAAAGATCCCCAAGGCTGGTGGAAATGTCCAGATGGTCGCATCTACCTCCCCCAGACATTAGGATGATAGCTCATCCAGCAGCTACTTTCAGACACTCATCTGTGGGGCTTCAAGATGGCCAACCTTCTAGCTCCAAGATACTGCTTTACAAAGCTGCAAGAGATAGCTCGCCAGGGCTCTCTTAGATGCCCAACCTGGGTACAAGTAAATCCCCACCAGGGTCCATCTGCACCCCTCGGGGTGAGATTCTGGGGTAGGAATCCTGGAGGACACTGGGAAGTGGATTTCACAGAGATCAAACCACCAGCATGTGGCTATCGCTACCTCCTGGTTTTCATAGACACTTTCTCAGGATGGGCGGAGGTCTATGCTACTCAGTGGGAGACTGCCACTGTGATGACAAAGAAATTTCTTCAGGAATTAATTCCCAGATTCAGACTACCGGTGTCCACCGGATCTGACAATGGCCCCGCCTTTGCAGCTTCTGTAACTCAGTTCGTCAGTAGGGAACTGAGCACAAATTGGAAACTCCACTGTGCCTACAGACCCCAAAGCTTGGGGCAAGTGGAATGGATGAATTGGACCCTAAAATCTACTCTGACTAAATTGATGTTGGAAACCAGTGAAGGGTGGGTCAGCTTGCTGCCTATGGCTGTCCTTAAGAGTTAGATGCACCCCTTAAAAAGCAGGATTTACTCCTTATGAAATTATGTTTGGAAGACCCCCTCCCCTGCTCCCCAAGGTCAAAAGTGAGGTACTAGAAGAATTTTCTAACCAGTCCCTGTTAAAGTAGCTCCAGTTTCTCCAACAGGTACAGAACACTGTTCACTCCCAGGTTGGAGCTACTCAGCCCCTGCCCAGCTCTACACCATGCCACCCATTCCAGCCTGGGGACACTGTCTTCATCAAGGCCTTTCAGAGTGAAGGACTGACTCTAGCCTGGAAGGGACCCTACACGGTCATCCTCACAATGCCCTCAGCTCTCAAGGTTGACGGAATCTCAATGTGGGTTCACCATTCATGCATAAAGCAGGAAAACAGTAGACTGCTGAGCTGGGACCTAGTCCTTTAAAGCTAAGGCTGGTCAGATCATGATTGTGACACTTGTCCTTATTGTCGTTGGGCTGATGAGGCTGAACTCTGGGGAGATGCAATGAGGAGAGTTGCACTCCCTTTTCTTCACCTCCTTTAGCTCAGGAGAAGTTCTAGGTAATGTCACTTTTGGTACCAAGCCGGGGTGGGGGTGGGGCAACCTCTCAGGTTGCCTGAGGTCAATCTCTGTAAATTAGTCAGAAGAGACTGGGGAAGCTACTACTATCAGTTCACAAACCTGGGAAGCTGTGACTTTTATGCATGTCCAGGTTCAATCCATTTGGACAGCAGGGTTGTGGGTCCCCAACTGACTTCTACTGCCCTAACTGGGGCTGTGTGAAGATCGCCTCCTATAGTGGGGACCGAATGTCACTAACGATCTCATAGTTTGCAAACACGGGTGCCGAGTCAGGTGAAGTGCTGCTAACATTTTAATGTAGGAAACTTTCAGTGGTCTTTAAATTATTTTTGCTTAATGATCAGGCAAATCTTCAATGAGGAAGAATAACACAAAAAGCATGTTTGTTTGTTTGAAACCCTTCATCTCTAAAGATAAAAAGCCCATGCCTATAAAAGTTTGCATGAAAAGAAGAATAGTAAAGAAAATATGCTCCTGGTGCCAAACAAAGGTTAGAAATGGAGCACTGTTGATTCTAACATGTCACCCCCATGCCAAAGCCTATTGCCACCTTATTGCTGGACTCTGGACAAGTCTGCTGCTAAATGGGGAGGGTCTAATATGTTTTAGCCTTTGTGCCCTTTCTTTAAGATAAAGTGCTCCACAGGTGGCAGCCAGTGGTGAGGTCAGTGGGTGAGCTGGGGGAGAAGACATGACTCAGGTGTCCACTTTTTCAGAGACCTCCCTGTGTCCCTCCATACCCCCAAGCCTGTGCTGCTCAGACTAGAGTTCACAGGAGCCCCTGCCTGCAAGTTGGACTCTTCCTTTTAAAAAAAATTTGGTGCCACAGTGTATATCATATATCAACTATTGGGCTGAGCTTGGTACTTTTTCACTTTTGACTTTTGAGCAAGATGTTCTTCATGAAGCAAACAGACCTCTGATTTCCATTCTGGCCTCAGCTCTGCCTCTTCCTGCATGCCAGGAATAAAGAGCTGGTCCAAGAACCAGCTCCAGGAGTTCTAGGGTCCAACAGCTCTTGATTAAATCATTCCCCCCTCCTCCCTGGGAGCCCACCTTGAATCTTCCTCAGTCCAGCAGAAACACTCTCCACCATGCTACCTTGGAGCAGAAACCTCCTGTCCCTCCTCTGTCCCAGGACCCAGCAGCTAGAGGAAGGGAATTAGGAGCTTCAGTTGGGAGGATTCCAGTACTAGTGGCTAAAATGCCCCTGGTGCCCACTACTTGTGTCCCTGCCGGGGCAGTTGGCCTATTCCATGACTGGACAGCTCTGGATATTAGAACATCCTTCCTCTTCCTCACCTAAATTTGCTCTTCTGTAACTTCTCTCCCTTCTGGAACTTAACTGTCTTAACTCTGGCCTTGAATAGTACAAGATTAACTCTTACCTCTCTCCTAAAGACCAGGCTGGCAAGCATTTGAAGATGAAAACATATAAAGTACAGACTGCTTCTAAATTGAAAAGATATAATTTAACAGTCAACTTTCTTCTGATAAAGGAACTGACCACTTTTTAAATTCAGGAGACTTGTGTACTTGTAGATTTTAATTCTGTGTTTTTGCACATTTCCAAGCCTTTTATAATAAAGTACATCCAAATCCAAAAGGAAATCATGGTGCCTATATAAACATTACAAGAGTGAAGAAAAACATAGGCCCCCACAGGGGCAGCTCCACTCACTAGTCCCATTGTTATCCTTAAGGAAATAAACCACTTCATGATTTGCAGGAGCGTGTGATCAGAGCAATGCCAGCCTCCAGGTTCCTTAAAGAAGATTATTTGCTTCCTGCCAGAATAGAACAGAACTCTGAGCCCACACTCCATGCAAATAGGAATTACTCCTGTCCTACTTCCTCAGGCCACAGAGTTAAACACAACATATAGAACCTAGTCTTGCCTTCTGTTATCTTTCCCAAAGTCTTACCCATCTGCATGGCAGACATTTCCTGTTGATATGGTGCTTCCCTGATCAAACCTAGAGAGGTCATTTCCATGCCCCAAACCTGGTGCTATGAAGGAGAGGTATGCAGGACTGTGTTCAGATCAGGTATGATAGGATCACTCTGATACCACATAGCTGGGAAAGGGCTTTAAAACAGGGCCATGTACAACCTTATAAGCCATACACAGTCTTATAAAAACAAGCCTGAATACACGTCACCATCATTACCGTCAATCTTGGCATTAAAAAAAAAAAAGGAAAAGAAATTCAGTTGAGACACTGTAGACTTCCTTTATTTTGCTAAGAAAACTCCCCCATGATGGGAATTTTCTTGTCTGTCCTGTGCAATATGGCAGCCACCAGCCATGTGGAGGTGTTGAACACCTAACATGTGCCTCGTGAACAGGGGCTCATTTACACTTAAATCCATATGCCCACATGTGGTGGTGACTCCCTTAGGGGATGGTGCTGGGATAGATGCATGGTCAGAACCAGTCATTTTAAGGTGTAACGGCTTCTGCACTGAGCTCTACCCATCCTGTTCAAGTTAATGTTCTCACTTCAGGACCTCCGCAGCTCTGTCTGCGTCTCTTCCTAGCTAGTTCCGGTGTCTCCCTTAGACACCTCCTGTTATGGTTGAGGTCTAAAACGTCCCTCCAATGTTTTCTGTATTTGGAAAGTAACTGGCTCATGGGGGCTCTATAGCTGACTTGCTGGTAGGAGAAGGGGCTGCTGCGAGGCGGGTCACTGCGGGGCATGCCCTGAAAGGGTGTGTTCTTGTTTTGGGCTCCTCCCTTCTCTCTTTCTCTCTGCTTCCTGGCTGCCATGGGTTGAGCACCTTTTCCTCCACCCTGCACTATGCCATTCTATTTCTGCCTTGTAGCCATCTGACCATGGACTGAAACCATGAGCCAAAATCAACTCCTCCTTTAAGTTGTGGATGTAAAGTATTGGGTCCTATGACAAAAAAAGTGATTAATACACCTCCTCAGAAAGGCCTTCCCAGATGACCCAGTTGGAGATTTTAACTTTTGTGGGTTTGCTTATTTCCACACCTTTTTAAGGCTGGTACTAAGGGGAAGGAAAATGGTAATTTTTCTGGGGCATGAATCATGCTACTATATATGAAAGTTAATTCTTGGCTCCATCTAACCAACTATCCAACAGCACCAGTTTAACACAGTGGTGAATTCCCTGTGGGTAATAAGTTATTTCCTGGGAAAGAGTTCAAGGGCTCTGGCACCCTTCTTTATCCCTGGGGCAGGTCAAGGCACCTTATCCCAACTGCAGAGAACAGGGCCCTCAAAATCGCCACCTCCCCATTGTGCCTGTGGGAAAGGTCAGGGAGCACCCAGTACAATGCTCCTCTCTCCTAAGGAGCTCAGGAAGACAGCCCAGGAGCACCCCACACACCAGAAGCACCCACTGGAAAGAAGCCACCCTGCTCTATCTAGGCCTGGTTTTCCTGTTCTTCGGGACTAGGGGGTGAGCTCCAGATTGGCTTTGCCTTTCCTTAATTCTCAGACCTCAGTTTGAAATTAGGGAAAGTGGTCACCCTCAGGCCTGTTATTATTTTTAACCAACTTTACTGATAGAAATAATTTAGCTATAATAAAGTCCATGTTAAGAACTCAGTGCAATGAATTTGGACAAATGTATACACCCCTGTAAGCACCACCGCAGTAAACAAATCTATAGAGCTCTTCCATCACCTCCTAAACCTCCTGGTCTTCCAGCCCATTCTGATCCATGCATTAGCTCTGCTTCATGCCGGAAGTTAGAATGTTTTCCACCGTGGAGCCAAACTACACTGCCTTTTACTAGCTATGTGACCCGATCAAGCTATCTGATTTCTTTGTCTCAGCTTCTACATCATCAAAGTTGGAGCAATAATAACTTTTAAAACATTTTACTTCACAGCCAGGCATGTTGACAAACACCTGAAATCTCAGCACTCTGGGAGACTAAAGCTAGAAGATCACAAGTACAAGCCCAGCCCAAGCAATTTAGCAACTTAGCAAGACTCCGCCTCAAGGGCGGGGCAGGGGGGCCGCTAAGGATGTGGCTCACTCCCAAGGCCCTTGTTTCGATACCCAGTGCTGCAAAAAGAAAACAAAAATGTGTATGAATTAGATGGTTAGATATGTGCAGAACATTTAGATTTGTGCACAGCACATTGCTAGCCTTCCGTAAGTGCCAGCTATTGACATTGTTACATGAAATGACTGTACTTTCTTCTCTCTGACTGATTTTTATTCTACTGTGGAGGATGCCTGTGCGACAGCACCTTTAGAAATCATCTTTAAATGCCACATTATCCCATTATTCTAATAGACTTATGTTACAGTCTGGAACTTAACTGTCTCCCAAAGCCTGTGTTTAAAGACTTGGTCTCCAGCCTGGAACTACTGGGAGGTGGTGGAAACCCTAAGAACAAGGGCTTAGTAGAGGTCTGAGGGTCACTGAGGCTGCAACTGAAGGTGACTGTGGAATCTTGACCTCTTCTCCTTTCTCTTACTATTCCTGACTATGAGGAGCAGTTCTCCTCTGCCATACGCTCTCATCAGGATCTGCCACCACCAGCTCCAAAGCAATGGAGCCAACTGGTCATGGCCTGAAACCTCTGGGATTGTGACCCCCTAATAAACCTCTTCTTGTTATAAGTTACCTTAGGTACTTGTTACAGTAATGCAAGCTGACCGGTACATGGTAATACCTATGCAATACTGACTTATGCAGAGGCTTCAGAAAATACCCTACTTACCCCAGAGAACTTACTATGGTCTAAGTAATCAGGATTGCTGAAACCTCGCTCACACCACAAGCCAACTTCTCGCCAGCCTGAGACACCTGGGTCCCCCTCGTTCAAGCTCAGGCCTTAGTGAGCTCTTGTGTCCTTTACAGTGGAAGCAAGGAGGGGAAGGAAGGGGTGAGATTTTTACAGTGTTTTATATAACAGGAAGGTTATACTATATTCTTAACTTCAATTTTGGGTACAAATATTATCTTGTCACTAAACTTCATGTTAAAGATAACCTACCATTCCATCATAATATGTTATATGCTTATTCCCTAGTTTGGACTTACAGGTTATTTCTAGTTCTTCATTACTAAAAATGTTACAGTGAGCACATTTGTGCATAAAGGTCTATTTGATCTAATGGACACACATATTTCTTGGATTTACTGAGAAGGCTGGATTCTCTGTGTAGAGCATCAGGCTGCTCTGAAATAGGCAGACATCAACCCAGAAAGGGCAGCATTTGATTTCCTTTCTTACCAGCCACTCACTCTCGTGCATTTGTGCTTGGGTGTTGCTCTGCACTGCAAGGTTAGTATCTGTGGGACGGAAGGACGTCAGCGGGCCCTGCCTCTATGAGAGGGTGTCTCTCTGGGTACACGAGTAGGCATGGCTTTCTTAGGACCAGCCTTCTAGATGCTGGTTTACTGATTGGCTGCATGGAGACCTCCACTCAATCACTTTCTTTTCAACTTTCAGTAAGAGGAAAGGCAGAATCACAGAACACGCTGTTTCTGATTTAAAAGGCTATGTGTGAGATACCAATTTCTTACTAGACTGGCAGAGACCCAAATGTCTGATGATACTTAGTGTTGGCATGATTGTGGCAAAATGAGAATCCAGCATTCCCTCCTGGTGGGAATAGATTGGAATAACCTGTCGGGGGGGGGCAATTTGCCAAAACCCACCACCGAAGTCTCAAACACATGTATGCTTTGATAAGCAATTATATTTTAGAAATGCATTTCCCATAGACTCATACATTTTCTGGCACAATGTAAGAGGAAAGATGTTCTGCCTACCCAGGGCTGGAAACAAGCCAGGGTGAGATAGGGCCTAAATATTTGACCAACATTTGAGTTGCTAATTGCTCCTGTCCACCAGACATTGTGTCCAGGAAGAGAGGTCCAATTCCTTCTGGGGGAACTGAAGAAAAGTTACTAGGTGGCAACAGTTGTGTTAGGAAGAAACATTTCCCATTCCAGGAAGCCAGAAAGATAGGTGTTGGTGAGGTGGGGGTGCTGAAGAAAGGCAGGACCAGGAAGGCTTGACCAGAGAGAAGCAGGGGTCGCAGGCAGCCACAGGGACTGAATGCCACAGAAAAGAGTTCAATTTACCCTTAGGCAAGTGGTTCCTAAAGTGAGTCATAAAACCACTTATAGTATATATTGATATCTGAAAATGAAATTTGATGGTACTAAAATCTTATATAGATACATGTCGTAATGGATAAATAAATACAGTTGGCACTCAACTGTAAATTAAAAACATTTTTAAAACTGTGACTGTACTGAACATGAACAGACTTTTTCCCATGTCATTGTTCCCCAAACACAGCCACAAAAGAAAAATCCCAGAGGTCACTTGTGGTTTCAAGAGGGTTTATAAAGACTTCTGAGGGGAGCAAAGCAAAACTTCCTGAAGAATCAGTCACAAGAGTGACATCTACCAAAGGAGGATGTGGAGCAAATCAGGAAACAATCAAAACATGGACACACAAGTAACATCTCCTTAGGGACAGACCTCAACTCCAAGGGACAGAAGAGAGACAGCTGTAACCACAGTGCATATGCCCCTTTCTACATAACCACCTGGATGTGACATCTACCGCACTCTCATGGGATCTCTGCCTCTCTGTTCTGTTCCTTGTTCATACCAGCAGGAAGTCCACTTTACCCAAAAGGAAAAGGGTGCATCAACTCCCCTGTTCATTAAAGTGAATCATGGCCAAGGAGTCTGAACACACATGGGGAAGCTTTCTCAAAAGTGGTGTGAGGTGAGGAACTAACAAGAAATAACCCTTTAATCCAAGAACTCAAGGAAAGTACAGAACATACATACATTTGGGGGGGTAAAATTCTTCTCCATCCTTAAGCCTTTTGAATTAAAGGAGTGAGAACAATGGGTAAAATACTTATTAATAATGTAAAATACAAAAAATTAGATCAATAATTTTTTTATCATACTCCAAGTATGCACATAGCAGTATTCTTCTGGTTCTACCTAAATAGTTATACTAATATTATAAAATGATACACTGGGAATTATCAATGAAAAGTATGAAAGATTTTTGGTAATTTGGACAATATTAATTTTGTCTAAGTCAAATCAAGACAAGAAACTGTATTTGAGGAGTTTAATGGGAATGCCATGTGGACAAATTTTGTGCTGACCTTGGCATTCACTGTCACATTCACATGGGTTTATTTTACCTTTGATCATTTTGTGGTCTGACTCAAGCAGGCTCCCATGAAAAGAATTTCATTTTAAGTTTGCAACTGAAAAAGGTAACTGAGATGAGATTCGCTCTTTACAATATTGAAGATACATATATTAAATATTTTAATTAAAAGATAAGATTTCCCTGCAGGAGAATTTCTGCTTAGGAAAATGAGGGTAATCAAAACCTCCAGTGGAAACCCAGGCCCCAATTTACTGAAAATGCATAAACCCAACCTGTGCCCAGGGTCCTAAGAAACAAGTTCTACTCCCAAGTGGGCTGTCTGTCCTCTCGGAGGCCTGGTAGATGGCACATAGAGCCACCTCTCACAAACACCCGGCAGTGAGAATCCAGTTTCACTTCAGACCTCAGTGCTACTGAATGAACCTTTTTTAAAATAACTTTTAAAAACTATGACCTGGCTTCACAATTAAACAAATTTACAATTTTGTACTATTTCACTAAAATAAAAACCTTTTTTGGTAAACCGACCACAAAGAAAAACCAAAACACACACATTCTAAATTTCTCTAAGTCTAAATTTGCACATATGCAAATATTAGCATCCCCAGTCAGAAAGTAAATTCCTTTAATGAAAGTGGAAAAAAAACCCACAGAGGCTTCAAAACCAAAATGGTTTGTGTTTTAAATCAAAAGAGAAAGACCATGTTAACTGTATTTTGTATCACTAGTTCATAAAACTACACAGACCCAGCCTCTCTATAAGATAAAATGCTTGGGACAGAAATTCAGCTGATAGCTATTTCCGACTCCTTAGTTATGCAAAGAACACATATAGCACTCTTTTTCATCCT